ATTCCCAGCAGCCAGCGCCAATGGGAGCGATGCTGCCGATTCCCCCGGGGAAAAGGCATCATCCAGCCCCTCGGACGAGGCAGGCCAGCACAAAGCCCCTCTCCGCTTTTGCTGCTGGAAAGCGGGGCTGGCCCTCTCCCTCGGTATCTCCTGTCTGGAGCAAGGAGGTCTCACTTGGAGGCATCTCAGGTGGCTTCAAAGCTGCATCCTCAGCCCCTGCTCCAGGGAGATGCCACCAGAGAAGGTCACTTCCCAGAACTGAGTCTTCTCAGCAGCGAATCTGCTCAGCCCCGAAACACAATGGTTTCCCGCAACCATCTGCATCGGTGCTCGTTGTGCTGGGAAGCGATTTGATCTGCCCCGAAGGAGACCACAGCCCCCGAGACCCTCCCAGCTGCTGGGTACGAGGACCAGCTGCTGCGGTCGATGGGCAGCTGCGGAGCCGGTTGACCCCAGAGCCAGGCAAGGCGCCAAACCCAAGCGAGGGTCACCACAAACATCTCATGAAGTGGATTTGGAGAGGGTGGGGGTGGCGGGGAGGGTGCGACAGCCAGCAGAGCAGCCCTGGGAAGAGATGTCCTCCTCGATGTCCTCCTCAAAGCTCATGCTCGGCTTCTCCACAGTCTTCCCAAGGACATGGCTCTTAAATCCTACAGCACTTTCCCTTTAGCTAATACTGCTGGTCTGTCTATCCTGGCCAAACCATCAGTCTGATGAATTACCTCCATCTCCTCTCTCCAAACTGCCCGGCTCCTTTCCGCTCACCCATCCTTCCTACTGCCCAATAGTTAAGACCACATTTAATTATCTCACTGTTTCACCCTCTGCTTTCCCTGTTCATCACCTGAACAGGGTGATGGGTCCTATAAACTTGATATCCTGCTCATAGGACCTGCAAACTCAACATCTCCATCCGAGTCCCACCATGAAGACCTTTGGGCGCAGGACCCGGCCACGCGGTGCAGGGGAGAGGAACCGTTTCTGCCCTTACCTTTTCCTCCAGGCTGATGGCTCGTCTGGTACGGCCCTTGAGGAGCCAGTGTGGGGTGACCCGCTCTCCATGGGACGATGGCCCTGGGAAAGAGAAGACCTGGTGAGCGCGTGAACAGACCTTGCAAGCCTCTGAGAGGGGGACCTCCTCCACAGCCACATCAAGAGAGAAATGGGGTGAAGGGACAGAGCTGAGGACTCTGGCCAACATCCAGGGCCACCTCTTAGGTGTTTCTGGGGGATGGACACCAGCATGAAGCCAAAGCATCGCCCCCTCCCCAGGCCAGCACCCTCATTGCTGGCCCAGCCTTGCTCCTGGAAGACTCTCAGGAGCATTGCTGCCCACCCAGGTCCCAAACCGGTGGCTTAAATCCCCTGAAACCCACCCTGGAGAAGCAGCCAGCACATGGGTGGCTGGGTGGCACCACCTTGGCCCTGCTCACGTTCTCAGCACCAAACCAGCCCAGGCAAACCCCACCGAGCACCCTCAGAGCACCCCAGCATGGCAGCACCGCATCCTCCCACCCGTTCCATCTCTCCCAAATCACACAAACAGCTTTTTTTTTTTTTTTTCCTTCTTTTTTTTTTTGGCCTTACGCTTTTACACCGTTGCTCGTCATCATCGACAGGATGGGGAAGCGTGGTTCGATCACCCAGAAATCGAGCCACCACCCTTCCAGCCAGAGCTGGGCTCGAGCAGAGGAGCTAAAATAGCTGCAGCACATTACGGGTTTCTCTGAGCCATCCCAACTCCCCCGGGCAGAGCAGTACAAGCAATTCCTTGGCTCGATTAGAGACAGGCAGACTTTCTAAGATTTTTTTTTTTTTTTTTCCCCTAAACAATGGGGCTGTATTTGATTGGAGCAGCGCCAAATGCCTAAACGCAGAAAAAAAAAAGGGAAAAAAAAAAAAAAAAAAAAAAATCAGAAGATGCTGCGGAGAGGAGATGAGGTCTACCAAGAATGTCAAGGGCTGGACCACCTTGCCAAGCCAAATGTTGTCAGTGAAAGCTTGGATCCAATAACCTTCCCCAGCAAAGGGCAAAGTTATTTACTAAGGGAGTGGAATAACAGGGCTTATGGCTTTATAATTTTATATGCTTGTTTTGGTTCCCTGTGCAATGATCTGGGGGGATTTGGCTTGAGGAAAGATGAAGTTATTGAAAAGGGGAAAAAAAAAAAAGATAGAGTTATTGGTTGGGAACTGCAGACTGAGTGTTTAATGTGATTGAGACACCCAGCCCGGCCACGTCTGTCCCACCAGGCCCCGGGACGCGCCTGGTACTATCGCACAGTGGCATTTAATCAGCTTTCATTATATATAGCATGTAATCAGATTCCAGGAATAACTGTAGATAAGGTGGTGGCACGATCCCAGTTTCCTTCTCCTCACCTCCTCCAAAAGCGTTAGCGAGGCCCTCCAACCCCCCAGCCATACATAAGCCTCATTTTCTGGTGGGGAAACTGAGGCACAGCTGCCATGCGACTTGCATTCAGCCACGCAGAGCGAGCAGCTCAGGCGGGGTTTGCTGCCTTCCCATTACAGAGAAAGGGGGGAGAAAAAAAAAAACCCTCTTTTTTCTTCGCTGGCTGCCGCAGAGGGAGAAGGGCAGGGAGATGCTGCCTCTCCCGGCTTGCTGCAAAGCCCGTCTTTCTCCCACGCTGTCTGGGGAGAGGATGGGACACGAGGGGCAGCCGTTCTGCAGGGATTACTGGGCTGGGCTCCGGGCCATGTCGTAAAAACCTCTAGGTTATTATATTAAGTTTCTCCCTGTTTTGACTATAGCTTTTGCTGGGAATCAGAGAGATTCAGAGGATGAGACAGGGCCTTAAAAATCTAAGTCAAATAAACCCCAATGTAGCGCAGAGGGGGTTTCACCACCCCTTCTCCTCTTTTTCCTGGAAAACACACTCATTCCCAGCCCTTTCTGGGAACACTGCGTCGGGAGCAGCGTTGCTTTGGCGTTTGGGATGTTTGCACCATTGCAGCCGGGCAGCCCTGCATTTGGGGGATGCCCGAGCCCAAAGATAAGCCCCGTAGCACCCAGGCTCCAGCCGAAGCGGGCAGCTTTCCCGACTGCTCTTCCTCTCCTCTTTAATCCAAACAGAGGTTTCTGGGTTCCACCAACCTCCCCGTTCCTCTC